ATACAACGAATAGTAGACTCTGAAATATCAAGGTTTTCTTTTTCTCTCAGGTGGGACCGTACTTGCATGGCAGTAGACAGTTTTAAAACTTGATCTTTAAATAAGTATATCTCATAATCTAATAATTAAAATTAAATAATTTTTATATTATTAGATTCATCTTACTGAAATGACCTAATGGCATAAAAATTATTTAATTCTAATTACTAAATTATAAGATATACTTATTTAAAGATAAATTTTAAAACCACCTACTGCCCTGTTTTGCTGTGGAGTTTCTATATAAAGATTTAAAGATATATTAGGTAGAAATTTGCATGTAAATTTCTGATATATTATTTTTGTTATGTAAATAATATTGTCTAAACTTTTATAGAGCTAACACACAAAGTTTAATAATGCCGACAAAATTTTAGTTACTCAGTAAGATCATAAAAGATCATTATAGATCCATCAATCAGAATCTATATTTATATAATAATTACTTCTGATCTGGTTTTGGGGCCAATTTGGTTAAATTTTGTTTATCTTGATATTTTGTTTTTCTAAAGCTTTTTTCATCTTTTGTTTGATGCATCTTTTGTCATTTTTTAGAAGCTTTTTCATTATTTTTTAAACCTTTCTGTCATTTTTTGTGCTTTCATTATTCTTTTTTTTTGTTTTTTTGTTACTTTTTGAAGCTTCTTTTAAAGCATTTATTATTATTCTTCTTGGAGCTTTTTTTATCATTCTTTTGAAGCTTTTTTATTAGTATTTAGTTTTTATTAGTTTTTTTTGAACCTTTTCATCATTTTTTAGTCTTTTTTATCATTTTTGAAGCTTTTTTATCATTTCTTGAAGTTTTCTAATCATTCTTTTAGAGCTTTTTCATTGTTTTTTTTAAAGCATTTTTATAATTTTTTAAAGCATTTTTTATCAGTTTTTTGAAGTAACTTTAGTTATTTTTTTAAACTTTTGTTTATTCTTATAAATAATGTTAAGCCAACATTGGCTTCAATATTTGTTTCAATATTGAAGTCAATGTTGGCTTCAATATTAGTATCATTGTTAACTTCAATATTGGCATCAATCTTAACTTCAATATTGGTATTAATATTGAGTTCAATATTGAGACCCCTGTTTTGTTTTTTAAAACTTTTTATTGTTCATTAGATGTTTTTTTATTTTTTTTATTTTTATTTTTTTTTTCTTCTTTGGCAACCTTGCTAGTGATCCTTTATTAAGATTATTATATAAAACTAGTTACATAATGTTGAGCTTAATATTTAGGCCTAACATCTCTTAGCTGTCTTTATGGATACCCAAAAGTGGTCTGCCACACTAGATAGAGTTTTATAGTCTCCGCTTAGAAAGCTTTTACCAAGTTGTCTCAGAAGCCTTGTAGACCTTGAAGAGATCTCAATCTAGTTTTGTTGAGTTAAGTTTACCTGAATACCCTTCTGCTATGCTACTATCTAATTCTAATCTATCTAGTTTTAATTCTATTTGGCTATCTAAAATATCTTTCTTTTGTAAAAATACTATACTATCTATTTTTAAACTAATATTCTTTTTTTTTTTTTTCTATTTTACCTTATATTTTTTCGCAAGTAACTTGACTCTTAACTCTTCAATACTTCTCTTTTCTTCTCCTTTATCTTCTTCATTAATTATTAATAATTCTCTACTCTGTAATAGAGTTTTCTTCTTTACTTTTTTCTTTCTGCTTTTCTAATTTGTTTTAGTCTTCTTACTTCTTCTTGCTTGGATTAGGAGTTCTCCTGAATTTA